ACCTATCTTGGTTCTCTATTGGTCAACAGTGCTTTATTCATTAACCAGTATGAGAAACATATTTATAGAATGACATCTCCCATCATCTTCTCTTTTCTGTCTAAATAAAAAAAAGGGCTTTAACTTTAACACAGTACAATATATAACAAAATATTTATCAAATAAGAACTATAGTTAACAATATTTAGTTCATTAACATTGTGAGTCAAAAGTCTTATATGTAACTTATCTTTAATCTTAACTAAGAAAAACTATAACCATAACTATCTGTTTTCAACTCCATCAAAGAACACAGAAGGATAGTATATAAACTCTAGAAATGACAGAGACATTTTGCTATCTGGATAGCCATCCAAAGTTCTTCTGTAAATTGGCTCATCTATCTTTGGTCCATAGGCCACAGTGTATGACTTCTCAGCAAAGCAGGAAATTTCAAACTGTCCAACCTGTGTTGGCAGCTTGTCAGTCACTTTTCTCTGTGTCCTGCAGACTGTCTGGCAGACTCTTCCATGAAGCAGGATCCCTGTAGCAATGTCCATCTTGTATCAGCAGTCACTTTCCTGTGGGTCGTGCATGTCCAGTTTATACAGCATAAAGTCAAACAGTCCAAACAAGAGCAGTATCGTGCCCAAATGGCTATTCTTGTCATATTGGAAGCAAACTCTATAATTAGTTTCTTTGTTGTCCATCTTCCTTTCTGACACAGGTGGTGTTGCCAAGAGCAGTTGTGCCTCACTGTTAAGAAAAACCCTAAACCGTTTTAAATGCCATATTCTGTAGGTCTTTGAAAGGTTTGAAGAATGCCTATCCAATTGAAATATATCTCTGTATATGTAGAAAATCTAACCAACCTAACTATAAGCTTTGGCTATCATAGGTAACTATCTGTAATCCGTACTTAATTATACATTGCATTTTAAAATAAGCTATACAAACACAATGCCTAAACAAGAGGAGAAATATACATATCACAAAATTTACCTTAAATTTGTACCAATAAATGAAAATCCATTCCAAAACAAAGTATTAATTTCTATACCATAATCCCCTTTTTACCTTTAAAAAAAGATTGGTTGTGGTCATTAATCATTTATAACCAACCCCATTTAGATGAAAACAAATATTTATAGACAATATTTGGGAATATAGGCATTGTTTTCTCCAAACTGCTTCCTGACGATTGGGAATGCTGTTTTGGGGATCCTAAGATGTAGAAATCCTAGCTGTAGTAGTCTGCAAGGCTGCCTTGTCCCAGCTGATTTGAATGTTGGATCACCTGGGACACTACTTCAGGGGGGTCTTGCTTGATCAAACCATGTTAGTCTGGAAGGAATCCATAGCTTTACATTTTCTGTGGAAACAAAAACAGAAATTCTTTTCCCCAGTAACCTGTCCTTAGACTTAAATTTTGAAGTCAAGGCATTTTAAAAAATATGTAAATTGGATCAATCCAGCAGCATTTCTTTTAGCAGTTGTTGCTATTTTCTTAGCAATCAAACAGTTGAAAGACAACACAATAGCATACAGTATCTAGACTCTCTGTGTATTTTTTCATTTTTACTACTCTCATTTTTCACTTTCTGAGACAGTGTTTCTCTGTGGACTTTTGTCTGTCCTGAAATACACTCTGTACATCAGATTCATCTTGAAATCACAGCGATCTGCTTGCCTCTGCCTCCCGAGGAGTGCTGAGATTAAGGGCACATGCCACCACACCTAGCTACTCTCTTTCTTCTTCTTTAAACACTCTATCCTGTTTTCTTTTCTCTCACAAACCTATGTATATTTTTAAACACACTGTCAACCTTTAGAGGTTTATTTTCATCTGAATCTGTCTTTACTGTATATCTCTACCTTCTATACAGCAAGACTCCTTTTCTGGCAGTTAATGTTCTGATTTCCATAATTCTTCAATGTAATTATTAGCGTAGTCCCTATATGTGAAAAAAAAAAAAAAACACTCAGTGGCACCATCCAAAAATTTAGCCCTAAATTCTTTGGCTACTTCAGGACATTTGGGCAGAGAACTAAGTCCCAGCCAATGGATGTGGAGGGTAAAAGATTTATTGGAAGTCTGAACTTTGTTTATTCTTCTTAAGTAACAATGGTTAGTTTTATTTATTTATTTATCCACTAATTGTTTAAAATGAGATGAGGGAACATTCATATATATATATATATATATATATATATATATATATATTTTTTTTTTTTTTCTTACTCATGATGCTAAAAGACAATTTTACAAAACCAAATGTCTTTAAAAGAAAAACTAATGTAGGGGCTGGAGAGATGGCGAAGTGGGTTGTGAGAGTATACAGATCTTGTAGAGGACCAGCATTCGCTTCCCAGCTAACAAGTGCCTATAATTCCAGCTCCAAAGGATTCTGATACCTCTGGTCTCCAAGGGCACTTGTACTCATGTGTACATACCACCATATAGATATGCACACATACACATACTTAAAAATATATTATAAAAATAAAACCCAATTTGAGGTGATGAATATGACTTAAAATATTTGTATGACACAAATATTATCATTTTGTGTTTTAAGCTTTTCCTTTTTTCCTAGATGTTTTAAATTCAATATTTTGTCTTTTAATATGCCAACTAAACTTAATTAGAGTCTTTGGGTGTTGATAATCTCAACTTACCAACTTTGAAATTTTGGATATGACATTTTCATTTAACATTTACAAGAAAAAGTATGAAATAGTTCGGTTGTTTTTCTTTGGTGTGTCTAGCCACATTAGTGGTCAAACTCTGCATATTAGCTTTCCCCTTAAAGTCTTAAACATCACAAGGTTAGATAAGACCCAGAAAATTACATTTAATTGCATTTTGAAATGATGTGAGCAAATATTTTCTACTTCCTAAGTTTTAGATTCTGGTAAGTGGGAAGATATGAATTATAGTGTCAATAAAAGTTGGCTACTATAAGGAAATGGCTTTACTATGTTGTAACATAAGAGATAAGTGTTTTCCAAGATGATCCTCTCCACGACGGCACGATTATGCAAATGTGCATCAGTTTATTCTATAAAAATAAAAAACATAGAAGCTGATAGGGTACAGAATTCTGTTTGATTCCCCTCTCAACCTTTGCCATGATTGCACAAATTAAGTCCTTAAGAATTTAGTATTAACATATTAAGAAATCATCATTTGATCTCCTATGAATGCATTCTTTTGGCTTGTTTTGTTTTTATTCAAATATGACTATATGTCCATATTTATGTGTTTCTGTAGCTTGCTTTCTTATCAATACGACATTTTGTAATTCTTTTTTTTTTTAACTCTGTACCCCATTTTTACTTTGTGTAATTCTTTGTGCAAGAACGTATAGCTATTTAATTTTTTTTAAAACTTATTTATTTTTATGTACTGCATCTGCATGTATAATTTTATGTCAGAAGAGGGTATCAGACCCACTATAGATAGTCATGAACAACATTGCGGTTGTTGGGGATTGGACTCAGAACCTCTGGAAGAGCAGCCAGTGCTCTTAACCCCTGGGCCATCTCTCCAGTCTCCCCAGCCCACAACTCTTCCTTCCTTCCTCCCTCCCTCCCTCCCTCCCTCCCTCCCTCCCTCCCTCCCTCCCTCCTTCCCTTCCTTTCTTTCTTCAAGACAGGGTTTCTCTGTATTGCTTTGGAGTCTGTCCTGGAACTAGCTGTGTAGAGCAGGATGGCCTCGAACTCACAGAGATCCACTTGCTCTGCCTCCCGAGTGCTAGGATTAAAGGCATGCACCACCAACGCCCAACTAACTTTCAGTTTTTAGTGACTGCCTCATATTCAGTTATGTGGCTATTTGTTTGAACACTTTCCATCTATGACCATCTAGCCATCCCACATTTTACGTTATAAATGATGTTGTTGTATCTGTAGCACGTTCTGTTAAGTAAACGCCCAGACCGAAGGATGAGGTCTTCCTCCCTGAGATGCTGCCCAGGGGTTGCTGAGCCTCATCTCTGGGCTCTTTCATCTTGGGACATCATGGCCTTTTGTTGTTTAAGTACTTGCGAGTGCCTGACCCGGTATTCTCATCGCTTGCAATTTCTTTAGCTGTGATTATTTCTTGTTTTATAAACAAGGCTGGAAGATCAGATGTACAACACCAAATTCACCTACCTGTTGCTCTGCTTTGGGCATCTGCAGTGTGGGACTAAAGACATGCCATCTCTGAAATGCATCTTGGACTTAAGAGACGGCTCAGCTGTAAAGAGAGCCTGCTGCTTTTTCTGACTCATAATCACCAGTAACTCCAGGCCAGAGTCTACTACCCTTTTTTGGCTTCCTAGAGTACCCACATACCCACATACATACATGAATAAACTCTGTTTTACACACACACACACACACACACACACACACACAGAGAGAGAGAGAGAGAGAGAGAGAGAGAGTAAATAATACATCCAGTTTTAAAAAAGAGAAACACATGTTTTCAGAACAGTGGTAGCTGGGTGAATTGGAAATTATAACATAGAATTAGACCACAGGTAATTTTCATACTAAAGAACCTTTAGCATCTTAACAGAAAATGTATTTTAATTAATGAAAAATGCAAATAATTTTATAGGCTGGATGCTGCTTATGAAGACTTGTGTTTGGGTATGATTTCAGATGCTATTTCCTTCATTATCTTGTCTGAGAATTAAGAAACCCAACTCTAGGGACAGGGACGGTTTAAATGTCATCAGAAGCGGGGCTGTGCTGGCACCATCCCAGCACTCAGAAAGCAGAGGTAGTGGGATCTCTGTGAGTTCAAGGCCAGCCTGGACCCCAGCGAGTTCCAGGACAGCCAGGGCTACACAGGGAACCCTTCTCTGAAAAATCCAAAACAGAGAAAGGGAGGGGGGGGGGTATCATGAGAGCTTTCTGTCTGTTGCCCGAGACTATTTTCAGTCCATGAGAAACAAAAAGAGTTCAGTTTTCTTTTGTTTTCCATCCATTGTTTATAACGTTCATGTGTCATTTTTGTCATTTTGTAGACCTACCGAGAGCAGCTGTCAGGATCTTAAGCAACATGACATTCCTTTTTGTGAGTTTGTCATACACAGCTGAGAGTGCCATTGTTACTGCTTTCATTACCTTCATCCCCAAGTTCATCGAGTCACAGTTTGGTATCCCAGCTTCCAATGCCAGCATCTACACTGGTAAGCTTCCGCCACAGGGCTCCTTGGAACACGGCTATTGTGTCCGCGGACTGAAATGAGTGAGCGGGGAGGAAGGCCGGGCTCACACCAAGTGTTCATCAAATGTGCATCCAGCTCCTGGTGCCTCCACGCTGGTGAGGGAAGCCGGGATGTGCTTTCTAAGGCTCCGAGTATGTTCGTGTGACACATTTTCTAACTCAGTTTTTTATAAAAAAAAAAAATACTATCAGCAGTGAGATTCAGATTCAGATGAGTGTTGATCTTCTTGTGGGTTTAAAATGGATCTCGAAATGTTGTGAAGTAGATGATGTCAAATCCACATCGATTCCATGGTGTCAGCATCTTCCATTCATAAAACTGACATAGATTTCAACAGAATCACCGGAGATGCACGGCCCTTTAAGGGATGTTTTGTATACTTGATTTTAGATGTTTTAGGTCTAGTCCAGCTGAGGTTTTAGAAGTCTTAGGTATGTGTACTTGTAGGACTTAGCATTCAAACCTTGTTTGATAGTAAATAAGATACTTAGCAATGTGGGTAAACTAATTCTCATACATTAGGGGGATTACATCGTTATATAATATTCTAAATCCTTCCTTAGTGATATAAACGATGGTCAATCTGCAGAAAGCTTAATTTTTCAACAAAGAATAATTAAGTATTTTTGAATGATAGTAGATTTTCACATAGCTTCACTTTCTACCTTTTCTTATTTCTGCATTTAAACCCAGCAAGCTTGAATTATCTAAAAATGAGCAGAAAAAAAAAATCAGTCAAAAAAGAGCAATTGACTTGAAATACCTGTTTGCTCATCTGGTAGCCACTCTGTTTGCTGCATCGTGTGTCTGGAAAGGCAGAAAGACTGGCTGTGTGTCCACGGTTGTAAATTGTTGAATAAATAATACATTGCTGTGCCCTGCTGTAATGTGTGAGTTAAAATGTGCTTGCTGTCTCTTGCTTTCAAAACTGCTTTCCGGCGTTGATGTGACAGCCGCAGATCGTGTTTCTGTCAGGTTGGCTAACAGAAAACGGAAGCCCCCCCCCCCCTCTTAGTCTAACTCTTAGACTGGCCTTCACTGAACAGTGAGCCAGGAGCTAGCTGCTGGGAGCACATTCAAAAGCTGGGATCCTTTCACACATTCCCTTTGCTAAGTCTCAGGGTGAAGAGGTGTGAACAGGAAGAAGGGGCTTGCTGTGTTAAAGTGCTACAGGGTGCTGCTCCCTGCATCATCTGCATTCCAGTCGCCTTCCCTGTGCCAGCACACACTGGGGGGCTCCTAGAGGGAGACGGTGGAACTCAACCTTTTGTTTTCTCATCATGCTATCATTGGTGTGTGTGTGTGTGTGTGTGTGTGTGTGTGTGTGTGTGTGTGCAGCCTAGGATGGCCTAGAACTCATGATCCCACTGCCTCAGCCTCTACATGCAGAGATTATCTGTGTGAGCCATCACATCTCACAGAAGCCTCTTTCCAACGCTTAGTTTTCTTGTGGTTAAATGCAGGGATTCAGTCGTGTGGTACGTTCCTAGTCCAACTACACTAGTAAGCCCAGAGCTGTGTAGGTAATCAATCCCATGGTCCTCCGTGTGTGTGTACGGGTTTCTCCCAGGTCTCCAGGGCAGGTTGCAGCTGAAGTGAATTGGATGGGGCCATCTCTTTATGTACCTGTAAGGAAGAGGCTAGCTAGACAATTTTACGAGGAAAACCAGAGGGAGACGTTCAGTGGGAGCTGGAGGTTGGGTGTGGAACTTTCCAGCAGTAGGGTAGAGACACTGGTCTAAATGAAGCTAGCTCTCAGAGGCCGTTTCTCCTTTAGCTCACGCTGTAACTCCAGGATGAGACAAGGCACGTGACTAAGCGGGATTCTATTCTGGTGCAGCGTCCACCAGGATCCACCCTTTGCCAACAGCAGTCCTCCGTCCGTTTCAAAACCGCAGCCAGTCCTTCTCACGTTGGCACAGTCTCTCTCTGTCCTTTGGTCAGTTTGGATAAAGGTTTGTGTGTCTTGTTGGTTTTCTCGAAGAACCAACTCTCTGTCTCATTGATTCTGTGTATTGTTTTCTTTGTTTCTATCCCCTTTCCTTCAATTGGTGTGGTTGGGAGCTGTGGCTCGGTTGAAAGCTCCTTCAGGTGCAGGCAGAGCTGAGCCTGTGGCGATTGCTCCTCCAGGTGTAAATGGTTCCAAGGCTCAGACGATCTGTGTTGTCAGGGTAGCTGGGGCTACGCCTCCGGTGGTCACTCCTCCAGGTGCAGGAGGTGCTGCAGCTCCGGTGACTGGTCCTTCAAGTGTAGGTGGGGATGAGGCTGACGCTCCGGAGGTTGGACAGTGTCTGGTAGCTGCTTGTCACAGCCTGCTCAGCGCTGACACTGTCCCCAGATTAGGCCTGTGCCCACTGTGGCACTGACCCTGTCTCCTGGCACAGCATGGGTCTGCTGTGTAATCTTTGGGCACCAAGCATCCCTCTGCACAACCTCAGTGGTCCTCATGATCCCTGGCATGTTTTCCCACAGGCGTGGTCCCAGAACCACGCCAGCCCGAAATAACACAGAGACGCTGTATTAGATATAAAGCTGTTGGCCTGTTATTAGCATTTCATATTGGCTAGCTCTGTCTTAAATATTAACCCATTTCTATCAATCTAAGTATTTCCACATGGTCTTATCTTACTGGAGAAAGGGTTCAGAGTTCTTCTCTCTTAGTCCTACATGTTGAATCTCCCCCTCTATCTATCTCTGAATCTTCTTTCTCTCCTAGTCCCACCTAGGTTGCTCTCCTATTGACCAACAGGGCTTTATTCATTAACCAATAAGAGAAACATATTTACAGAATGACATCTCCCATCACTAGTATGTTTCTGCAAACATATCCAATTCATTAATATTAAGCATATCCCAGCAGTATTCACAGTGCTTAAAGTGATAGTGATGATGGGCTGGTGAAATGACTCTGTGGGTAAAGGTGTTTGTATCCAATCCTGAGGATCTGAGTTTGATCCCTGGGACCCATAGGGTGCATGGAGAGAATCAATTTCCACAAATTGTTCTCTGCCCTCTACACGTGCACTGTGGCATGAGCTCTCTCTCTCTCTCTCTCTCTCTCTCTCTCTCATACACACACACACACACACACACACACACACACACAATTTTAGGAAATGGTGATGGTCATGACAGCCCAGTGTTTACTGAGTGAGTATGCTGGATCGGACTCCACTCTCTGGTCTTGTTATGTCCTAACTCATTTGCTCCTCACAATTCTACAAGGATGGCATTATTATCATGCACATTTTACAGCAGGGGGAAAATCTGAGTTCTCCAAATGTTCAGAAACTTATCAAGGACATACATCTTGCAGGTGGCGGGGCAGGGTTTTGTCTTATTTGGACTTCTCAGACACCAGCAATTGCATGGATCTCTTCCACAGGAACTTAGGCCTTTGGATCCTGGGCTGGGAGCAAAGAGCATGTCCATTCTTCCACACCCCATTCTGTCCCTTCACGCTCTCCTGCACACACAAGAACAGCCTGATGCACCCCAACCCTGAGTTCTAGGTATCATGCTCCCAGGGGAGCACGTGGATTAGGAGTTTAGAGACCACAGAACTGTCCCCTTGAGGGCTAGACAAGATGTGGTATCAGGCAGAGGCTACACCTAGGGCACTGTGGGATAGGGTGTTGGTTCTTTGGTGTCTGTGGTCTCAGGAAAGGGAATGGGGGTATCAGGAGAGAACGTGAAATTAAGTTCAGACGGTTGGAAGCGGGTCAGTGACTTCAGCCCGGAGGACCTGATTTTTTGTATCTCCCTTCACGATGGAGTGGAATCGTTAGAGAGAGCAAGATGGTGATGTGGTAGTGATGGAGAGACTGGGCCACCAGCCCCAAGATGGTCCAGAACCATATCTGCTTAGACGTCCATGGCAACCATTCCCACATGAAATGTGGGCACCTGCCTGTTCATGACCTCCTGGTTACATTCAGTCCCCTATGACCGCATTCTCCTCTGCCTTTCCCCTTGCCTCTGTCTGGTTTCAGCTTCTTTTATGGGTTCATCTCTGCCACAACCCATTAGCACCAGCTCTCTTCAGACAGCTTCCTCCTTTCCTCACTGTATCTTCTGAGAACATCCGACCTCTCAGATCGAGCTGGAACACATCTCTCAGCATGGCTCTGCTTATAGCCCTGGGTGCCCCAGTGAGAGGCCTCCGCCTGCTTCTTCAGATCCCGCAGCTCGTGTCTGCAGCAGAGGTAGCTAAGCTGCTGTCTACACATCGTCCTTCTATTCAGACCTCTGCTCTACCTGAGTACCACGCACTAGCTTTATCCTGCTCTCCCAGGCTCCTTATTTAATGTATTTTGCTGTCAGTGAGGTGCTTTCCCGTGGCTCACCTGGCCCCTTGTAATTATGCTTCTGACCACTTCAGATTCAAGTTCTCACTCCATCAACGCTATCCTGTATCTCACGCCAGCAATGGTCTTCAGAACACGTAACTCTCAACTGACCCAGCTCAGAATTCTCCAGTGGCCTCTCATTGCTCAGATATTTAATCCGAGTTTCTTTCCTGGACTCGTATGGTCTCATTTTTCCTAACCTCTCTTCCTGTACCCCATCAACTCCCACCATCTTGCATTGCACACTCTTGGTATTTTGAAGTGCCACGACCTCATGCCTCTGCCTGCCTTTCCTTTGTTCAGAGTGTGTTCTCTGTGCTTCTTCTATTGAGTATCAGCTGAGAACCGGCACTGTGAGAACTCCCCCTGGACTGTCCCAGGGAAGACTCAGCTTACGCCTTCCCTGTGTTTTCCCAGAACCTTGTAGAATTGTTTTACTGAGATTTCCTATTGGCTTGCATGCCTCTCATTTAGTGTGTAAGGCTGGGGGTGGGGTCCGGGGGTGGTATTCTGTGTCTTTTTCATTTTTTAAATAAAGATTTATTTTATTATTAGTTTTAAGTGTGTTCATTCATGCGTGTGGATGCAGGTGCCCATGATGGTTCACAGAGCCGCAGCTCCCTGGAGCTAGTGTTCCAGGTGTTTGTGGGCTGCCCATTGTGAGTGCTGGGGATTAAACTTGGGTCCTCTGCAAGAAGAGTTCCATGCTCTTAACCGCTGAGCCATCTCTCCAACCCCCATCTCTTTATTGTTCTACAATGCAGTATATATAACACATCCAGTAGTTCAGTGGTCAAAATTCTAGAGATATGGAATAAGTATAAGACTTGCTTAGTCCATTCAGACTGATGTAACAAGATTGCCATGCACGGAGTGGTTATGAGCATGAGGGTTTGGCTTCTCATAGTTCTTCAGGCAAGGATCCCAAAATCAAGGTGTTGGCAGATTTGGTGTCTGGTGAAGGTCTGTTTCTCATAGATGGGACATTTTCACTGCACCCGTATATGATGGCAAGAACAGGGAATGCTCAGGTCTCTTTAATTAGGGACTAATTCTATTCATGTGGTGTCCACTCTCCTAACATCAAAATTTTGGGGGTTAGGATTTTAACATATGAATTCAGGGAGACATAAGCATTCGGGCTGTGGGAGTAACCATGACCCACTTTGTGGAACAGGGCATTTTCAGTGCTATGGGAATCCCTCTGTTCTGAACCACTCATTGGGTTTCATGGTAACTACGTTCCTTTATACGTTATCCTCTATTCATGCTACGTGTGTGTGAATCCTAGAACATTACGGTCTAGTTCTCCTGGTTCTTGAACTCAATGCAGGTGTGAACACGAGCATATTTTGTTGCAGTTTTTTTTTATTTTCCAGTGTCATCCACTTTACATGTGTTTGATTACACGTGCTACCATATAGTGCTTCGTGATAGAAACGTTTCACGCATAATGTGTGTATTATGGGCTGTTTGGTTTGTTTTCAGTTGGGGGCTATTGGGATGGTTAATATATACCATGAGTTTCTTTCGGGGTAGACTGGGACAGAAGTTGCAAAGTGTTTGCTTTCGTTTATACCAGGTAATGAAAAACTGCTTTTCAAAGTTGCTCCTACTGTTTCCCATCCTCCATTGCTGAGTTTCCAGCACTTTTATCTTGACCAACATGTCTCATTACCAAAGTGTAAAATGTTTATGTTTCTTCCGTTTGCTTGGGACATTTGGATTTTCTCTCTGGTAGAGAGCCAATTGAAAGTCTGTTTACCTTTCTCACCAATTATTTGCCTTTACATTATTGCTTTGTAAAAGGTTTTTACCTTTTGGATTTGTATCTTCTGGATTTGACTCCTTTGTCGATGTGTGTTGAAAGTAGCATACTGTAAAATCACACACCGAGTCTTTGTGGATTAGAGCAATTCTTACTCTTTACCCTTATGGTAATGAGCAAACGGAGACAGAACAATTGGAGGAGACAAATAGAAGCTGACACCAGTACACACTAACGCCCTCTTCCTCCTCTCCCCAGGTGTCATCATTGTCCCCAGTGCTGGTGTTGGCATTGTCCTGGGAGGCTACATTATAAAAAAGTTGAAGCTCGGTGCCAGAGAATCCGCAAAACTAGCAATGATCTGCAGCGGGGTGTCTTTGCTGTGCTTTTCAACACTGTTTATTGTTGGATGTGAAAGCATTAACCTAGGCGGTATAAACATCCCTTATACAACAGGGTAAGTACCTCAGAGGAGCATCCTGCATCGGCAGGGTAGAAGTGCCAAGCTCTGTATGGCTCCACACCCGGCCCACACTCTTTGCCTTCCACCTGCTTTATGTGTTTTGTCTCTGCAACTGGAGTTCGAAGTCCCGTAGGGTGGAGGCCACACGGTATCTGTGACCTTTGTCTGTGTCCATTTTCATCCTCACACAGTGACTGCCATGGCATTTTAATTAAAGGAGATAAGGGGACGATTATTGTATTAATTAAAATGTTGTTCTGTTCTGTTTACCTGAGTAAGTTGTTCCATTTTTTGCCTCTGCCTTAATCACTGTTCTATTGCTGTGAAGAGACAGCATGACCAAAGCAACTATTATAAGATAATGCATTTAACTGGGGCTTGCTTACAGTTTCAGAGGTTTAGTTAGCTATTACTGTGGACAGGGAGCATGATGACAGATAGTCAGCTGCTGAGAACTCAATCCTGACTCATAGGCAGAGAGATTCCTCTGAGACTCATGGCAATCCCTTAACTGTAATTTCCTGTAAACTCAAAATAAAAAAGCAGAACACATATGTGGCACAAATGCACATTATCATTTCAAAAGGAAGGAAAAGAAGCATAATGAGGAAACTTTGGACCAAAGCAAGACCAAAACCCATCAGGGAAAACTCTAAATCCTACACCTCCATGTCTGATGTCCAAGAATACTTCATATTTCCAGCCTCAAAGGCTTCCGTATTCCTACAACAAACAGCATGTGAGGCCTGTCACAGACATAACTCAGTTCCTGATACCAACTTCTATTTTAGTCACTGTTCTATTGCTGTGAAGAGACACTACTTCCAAGCAACTATTATTAGAGAAAGCATTTAATTTGGAGATTATTTAGAGTTTCAGAGATTTGGTCCATCATTATCATCGTGGTGGCATGCAGGTAGACATTGGAATAGTAGCTGAGTACTATACCTTGATCCATAGACAGACAGACAGACCGATAGATATATAGACAGAGGGAGGGAGAGAGAGATAAAGAGATTCTGGGCTTGGCATAGGGTTTTGAAACGTCAAAGCCTTCCTCAAGTGACAAACAACAAGTCCATACCTCTTAGTCCTTCTAATCCTTTCAAACAGTGCCATTCCCTGTTAGTAAGCATTCAAATAAATGAGCTTAAGGGGGCCATTCTTACTCTAACCTCCTCAACTTGCTAACCCTAAGATACTTGCTATTCTCCAGTTGGAGTTTCTGGACTGGTTTCTGTGTGTTATCTCATCCTGTCGTATTTCGTAAGTTTGTATGGTTTACTCAGAAAGCCTTTTCAAACGCCTTGCTTTCTATTCTTCATATAATTTTATTTTTAAACTTTTGAGGATAACTTTTTTCTTGTTGAATTTTGATTGCCCCCTTTCTTGGCATCCTGGTGTTTTAGAGAGTAAGGTCTCTTTAGGTCTCTTTGTACTTATGGTAAGAACTTTTTCTCTACTTTAGTGCCTTGAGTATTTGTATCTAATTTTAAAGCCCCACCCTCTGCCCCCTGCTTCATTTACTTACAATGAACTTTCCAGACTGACTGCACCCAGGCTAGCATCTCTCAGGCTGTATCTGCTTCCTCTGCCATCCTCAATACAAGAATGAGTGGCCAACATCTAGAGTAGAAGTTTAATTTCTTAAATTTCTTATAGTTTTCTTCAGAACAAAACTCTGTGCTGATTTTTGGGGCTCTGGATTGGAGCTGATGCTGAGAATACAAATGAGAGTCTGCTCATGGCGTATCTCCCTGGGTGGGGACCCATCGTGGCCCTCCACAGGTCATGTTTCCTCCCAGCATAGCTGGTGACTTTGAACTTAGAGTCTTGGTTCCTTTAGACTAAGAGCCAGCCTGTCTGAAGGAATTTCTGCAAGACTCTAAGTCCCACAGACTCACTGCTGTCTGCTTGCAATTGTCATGAAGCTTGGTGTCACTCTATTTCTTCAATCTATCTATGGGGCTTTATTCCCTTTGACTGTGGTCCATTTTGATTTGAAATGTATTTTTAGAAGGCCTGGAAGCCAGACTCTGTATTCTGCCTGCTTTGGAACTAACACCCCCCTCAAGTCTTCTAAAGCCCTTCCTTGCTGAGTATTACTCTGTCTGCCAACCTCAAATCAACTGCTCCTCGTCCCCTAGCAATGCCGGGGGAAATTACGTAATTGTGCTGATTGGCTTCATAACAAATTTATGAGTTCCAGCCTTAGCAGGCTCTCATTTTTGCTGAACAATCCATCCTCTTAGTCACAGTCAGCTTCCTTCCTCGAAATTCATAATGATAGTTCTTTCTTTACTTCTTAATCCCCTTTCCTCAAGTCTTTTTTTTTTTTTTAAATCTTATCTTCATTTTTGTTTTTCTTAGTGGGCAGGTTAGTGAGGAAATGAGGTTTCTAACCCACTTTCCACCCAAGCTGTCCTATCTAAAATAGTATTATTTCCAAAGGCAAGTGTTAACGTCACTGTCTTCTAGCTGTGGGACACCCTGCACCAACATACACAAACGAGCCAATATTGTTGGATCTTTGCTCTCTCCTATGGAAAATCAAGGCAAGCGTCAATCTCAGCATGTTGAAAGATTAAAATAACACAAAAGGGAGAAAGTAGTCCTCTCCTCCTTTTTCCAGCCTCCAGCTGAGAGCATTCAGCTATTGTTTAACAAATGTGAATTGTTCTTATGATGAGGATTACTTGAGATCATGCAAAGCAACTCTACCTTACTCTCCTAGAATGCAAGTGGATGCCAGGCCTCTGCCTGTGCACAGGAATGTTACTCCATGTTGCTGAATCTAGCAAGAAATCCATATAAATATACATCTTAGTTTTCTAAATTCACAAGTTTGATACCCCTCACCTGACTGTGATCAAGAATGACCATCCTATTCAGGTACTGGGCACTGCAGCAGGGATTTAGGTATGCCAGTACTTTGCATACTGATTCCAGTGACATTTGTGAATTAGCAAAAGAAACTCAGTTTACATGGAGAACTTCTCTGGCTTTTCACCTGTTTCTAGGAAGATTGTGCAAGAATGGATAGAATGAACAGTTTTGAATGGCAGGGTCTCTTTGGCATGCCATTGTCAGAGTGTAGGTAGAGTGAGAGAGAGCCTTGCTGCCTTGGTTGGTTTTCTTTCTCAGAGTACAACTTGCTCAATAGTGTGTGATTGGTTACCTAAGTAACTTTAGTTTTCTGTCTGGTATTTAGACTTACACATCTTTCTCTTTTTAAAATGTAATGTATTTATTTATTTTACATTCTGATCTCAGTTTTCCCTTCTCCCTCCCTTCTGCCCTCAATCCACACCTCTTCTGTTCTGCTAAGGGGCAGGCCTCCGATGACACATCTTTCTCTTTCAAAGATGGGGGTCTCTTTGTGTAGCTCTGCCTTGTCTGGAACATGCTATGGCAACGAGGCTGACCTTGAACTCACAGAGATCCACTCGCCTCTGCCCCATGCTAGGAGTAAAGGCGTGTACCATCATGCCCAGCGCACATTGTAATGTTATATTCTATAAATTAAGTTAAAGAGATAAATAAAGGAGAGGACACTTACAATTTTAAGTGATAGGTTGAAGGTATGTCCTAGTAGAGCATCTATTTAGTGTGTCCATTAACCAGTGCCCCTCAAGTTCAGCAGTTAGATCTAACGTTAAGGTGTTCTAGCCATAATAAAGTAAAAAGAAAATGTAAAAGGAGCCTCAGACTTAAGAAGCTGATGTTCTTCCACTATGAGAGATCCCAGGATCTCTAGCCTGGTCCATTCTCAGTTCAAGCAATTACATTTCCTACACCCGTATTTCCCCTGCATTTAATTAAGAAGCTTGCTCTCTGTGGCTAGTGACTTATATTCATCACAGCTGCGTCTTGATTGTCTTATAGTCAAAGGAGTTGGCTTAAGACTTTAAAGGAACACATTACATGGGGCTGACCACCTACCCCACTCTACCTTCAAATAGTTTCTAAAAGTCGTTTAAATTTGATGGCCAACTACATTTCCAAGTCTCTTGATACATCCCTTAATAGCCCTGCCTTTATTATCTTTTTTCTATCAGGTGTTATCTCTTTGAGCTTTCGGTCAAACCTATTACTTCATCTTCATGTCCTCTTCTGCTCTTGTGACTTCAGTGACTGGAAGAAACTTTTTCCAGCTGCCAAGTGTTTGAAAAAGGGCCAGTGACCACTGGACAGGACAACCACATAGTGGGGATGTCTTGATCACAGTGTAGCAGGCAAAACATCTAAAGTTCACTGTGTTTGTGAGTTTGAAGCCACACTTAAAGTCGGATATTTCTAATTTTAATTCTTAGGGTTTCGGGAAGCTGAGAGCATGGAAGTGGTGTTGGATCTTTCTTTAGGGAGTAGACTCCTGCCCAAAGATGCACATCTGTGGACAGTTACACAGAGCTCACCCGCTAGTATAAGGGTAGGGAGACATAGTGGAGATAAAGCTGGACTGACTGAAATCCATTCCTGGATCCTACTAGCTGTGTTACCTTCTCAGACTTTCAATTTCCTTGTGGATAAAAGCAATAGTAAGAAAGTTCTCATCAAGAACAAATGGGTAACTGCAAAGACATGGAGAGAAGTAGACCTCTGCTAACGCTGATTTTAAGTGATGAGATGACAGACAAGAATTTTCACCTAGGAGTTGTACAGCTTTAATAACCCCAAACAGAATTTACTGGGAAGCCAAAAAAATTTGATGGAATTTAAAGATATATTCTAATTGTAGTTTTCTAGAGGATAAAATATATTGAGGAGATGAAGCAATTAAGAGACAGAGAGATACAGGAGAAAGAAAGACACAGAGACAGACAGAAACAGACACACAGGAGATAAAGATACAGAGACAGAGAGAACATTTCCCCTATGTTTTTAGTGTTTTCTGCTCCAGAAACTTTTTTTTTGCTGTGTTAATCATATTCCTTTAGTTCATGTGAAATGAGTACAATATACATGGATCCCCAGTTCCGTATTTTATTGGGGATTAACCTAAGACTAAAGAAGGTTTAGGGACTTCTCTTTGAAGTATAGAGACCATGAGGTGCCCGTTACATAACGAAGGCTGGTTCAGACTTTGAGGTAGGGCTGATAAGATACAAGTGCTGGTATGTGTGTCCTCCATGGAGCCTAACTGTGTTCTTACATACCATGCTAATGTGTGCCCCGCCCAGAACCTGCTTGTCCCCTTTTCAAGGCTGTTCCACACCCTGTCCCCATTTTTTTTGTTCCTTTTCATGTCACATTTCTCCTTTTATGTTTACACTTGGAGTGAATTTTCCTTGAGCTTTCATATTGCATCATTTCTTTGAATCTGGCAGTGTGACGTCATGGGGGAGTTTGCCCACCATGTGAATTGCATCTGGGTATTTCTAGTGATATCTGCTTAATCTTTCTACTTTGGTTATTTCTGTCAAACTGGTGGCAGGGTTCCCATCCTTGGCAAACAACTTCCTTTTAGTTTTTTAGGATTATTGTATTCCTTTGGTAAATCATTCTAGAACAGTCCAAGTCTTTGATGAACAGAGCCCACACTGGTTAACTGTGGCTGGTGGATGGATTTCATGTCTGTAGGCTCACAATGGTTAAACGATTCACTAGTGAATCTTTTTCTCCACTTTATAGTTCAAAAACTCAATTTTGAGATGCCAGATATGGTAATTAATCTGATTGGTTCCTTATGTAATATATATGTGTGTATTGAAATAGCACATATACCTCACAAATTTGTGTAAGTATTGTATATAAATAAAAATAAACTAAGGTGGGGTATATGGCTTAGTGCTAGACTTCAGGCTTTGTGTACATGAATTGCTGGGTTCAATCCCAAGCAGGTCTCCAAATAAAATCAAATGAAATAAATCAATCCATATCTGTTAAGACACAGAACTAAGTATTTCCCAGTGAGGAGTTCAGTGAGTGTCCAAGTCACTAGACTTAGTCTATTGAATCAAAGTGTTTAGTGAGACTGAGGCAGGACAGATAATTTGATTTTAAACCAATTTCATTTATTCTAATGAAAGCAGAAACATTATATTACATTTTGTTGTAAGTTTAAGGTAATAGTTATAGAGGGTGACTACTTCATGGTAGCACAAATTTGATTCATGGGAGTATTGTCTCAAGTAAATTCACTTGTTATCAAGAATGTTACGTTTAGTTTTATTCTGTTTTGCTTGATTTTTTCATTCTCTCTCTCTCTGTCTGTCTGTCTCTCTCAGACCTTCTCTGACCATGCCCCATAGGAATCTGACAGGGAGCTGCAATGTTAATTGTGGTTGTAAAATACACGAATATGAGCCAGTCTGTGGGTCAGATGGGATCACATACTTTAACCCGTGCCTGGCTGGCTGTGTTAACAGTGGCAATCTCAGCACTGGGGTGAGTATACTCCACAACTCTCTCTTCTACTGTTAAGCCAACGCCCTGAAACGAGGATGTGTTGAGACTCACAAGCTTCCATGATGACTTGTTCATGAGGCTCCAAATTGCCCTCCACGAGCCTCTGAAAAACACGTCATGAGAGGCGGATTGTGCAGGAGCTATCACCATTGCCAGAGCTGCTGAGAGAATCTGGGGTAGACAGAGGACCAGAAGGCCCTCACCAGCTGGCTCCCGCTTTGTCTGTGCCAGCTCAGGGAAGCTTGACAAGGCTGGACTCCGGGCTTCCCATTTGTTTCTCTGGCAGGGTCTTTGTAACAGGTTTGAAGGTCAAGGTGAGTAGCGTGAGTGCTGAAAAGAGAGAGGAGAGACTGTGGAGGCTGGTCCTCTAACTGGTGTCTGTGAAGATGGGTGATGGCCATTTTTCATAAGACACTCCCTCAGTTCACCCTCCCCCACCCCTTACTCAGAGTAAAGATATTTCTGTCAGCCGAAGAATAGTCTATTTTGAGAATTCTCTTCCCTGTGAATTATAAATAGGCTTTAATACTGTGGGAGAATGTTTTCATATTCCACGCTATTCTTTACTGGGCCCAGTTTGGCTGTTGGCACGAGAACAGATTGGAGGCGATTGCCCTAATTTAAAGGCTGAAGTGCATTTGCCTGTTCTGTGCAGATTCTAGAGACTATACCGTTTGGAGTTTAGAGGTACCACTTTTGTTTTCTGAGTTTGAAAGCAGAGGGTAAGTTGGAAGTGATTATGACATAGTTGATGAGTTCTGGAGTGTGGCCCTATTGAGCTCATGATATTGTTTCTTAGCAGTGATCCATGCAGTGTTGTATGGCAGTGAGCGAGATCTCCTGGGCACTGTTGGTTGTTGTTGTTGTTGTTGTTATTATTATTATTATTATTGAGATTGGAAGTCTTTCCCGCTTAAATGGTCAACCCCCTACCAATGTGTTCTTAATACTGTTTTAAGCAGTCACCATGAGAACTGAATTGCCATTCAGTAAGAAGATAACAGGCAAAGAGATGATTGACCATATCACTATTTGTTAGCTTGCTTGGGTACTGAACGAACACCGCCAAGATGGGTTTCCTTTTCATCATTGACTTTGCGTTCAATGGAAGTCTGGGAAGTTACTGGAGAAGATTTAGTCTCCTTTGCTCCTCTGTCTTCAGTCTCCAATGGCATGTCTCACATCAATAAGGATTCATAGATACGTGTTGTTCTTTTCTACAATTATTGCTTATGAAACACAAACAGAAGACTCAGTGCCCTCGTGGGGTTTACTGGTAGAGGGGAAAGAAAGGGGGGGGGGAGCTGGTGGCCAATCAAAAGCAGGAGAGAGAGAGAGAGAGAGCAGAAGATGGAAGGGGGGGCTTGCTTTAAAAGGGAAACTTGAGCATCCATAGCTGAATCCCCTGTGCAGCCAGGTAACTTGCAGCCAGGCAACTGGTGTAGCAAACGACATGGCCATGAGCATCCCGCCCATCCCCAGGGGGCGGGGTCAGCAGACTGCTGGTTTCCAACGATACGTGCTACGAAAAATGAACAAGTGATATTGGGCATGGCAGGGTCTTCAGACAGCTGGAGTCTGCCGAGTCCAGAGCGCTGGGCTGAGGCTACCAGAGTGATGTGATGAGTACTCCAGTCATACGCATGGAAGTCACCAGACTGTTGAAGGGACTGAGACGGTGTTTAAACTGGAATAGGCGAAGGGAAGTTCATCATCCTTGGTCCTGAAGCCATTGTGCCTAGGTCACATCACTCTGCGTGTTTGTTGTCATCACAACTTGTGTTAGGGGTTTTACAGATGTTTGTTTTAGGACTCACTGTGTGATCAAGCTTGTGCTGGGCACTAATAAAAATCAAGATGGCTTCTGCTTTAGGGGCTTCTCTAACTGGAGAGTCTACAAGTTCCATAGCAATCAAAGCTGTGTGTATTTATGACCCCAAATGAGCACATGGCATATCAATATCACAGAATTGTGTGTTTAAAGCTTTACAGGGAAGTTTAGGTTTGAACAGTCTGACTATCAGGCTTTGATATTATTAAGGCGAACTTTGACCTCTTATTGCCGTTAAGAAAACCAAGCGGTTTGTGTGCAATATTGTGCTCTTAAAGCCCTATGGGTTTTTTTTTTTTTTTTTTTTTTTAGCATTTTTTACTTTGTCAACATTCCAACTCCAGGTTGTTTTTGATTGGCACAAAATTTATCTTTGTCTGCTCCTCAGGTTCGGAATTACACAGAGTGTGCCTGCGTCCAAAGCCGACAAGTGATCACCCCGCCCACAGTGGGACAGCGCAGTCAGCTCCGAGTGGTCATTGTGAAGACATATCTCAATGAGAATGGCTATGCTGTATCCGGGAAGTGTAAACGTGCCTGCAACACCCTCATCCCCTTCTTAGTCTTCCTTTTCATAGTCACCTTCATCACAGCCTGTGCTCAACCATCAGCTATTATCGTGACGCTCAGGTAAGGACAGCGCCCCACAGAAAAGAAGATGGCTGAAACGTTGCCTATTCTAGAGTTCCCTTCTTTTCATCTGGGCTCTATCCCTGTTATTTATCAAACTTTCTTCCCAGTGCTTTAAGTGTCTGAAGTGTTTGTGCTATGAGGTTAGACATCATGAATTGAAAGCCATCTCTCTGCTTGCTCCAAGAAGCCAGACCCTCAAAGAGGGTGAAAATAGTTTGACAAAGTGGCTAGACCGTGAATATTGCAGAGGCATTACCTCCAGCCTCATGAAAAGTTAATGCTACACCTCTGGGATCAATGAGGAGTTATGCTGGGTTTGCATTTCAAAATGCTGAGACCATTGATTTTACTATTGTATAAAGTTCTGGAGCTGAATCAAGGACAGGATAGACTTGGAAATGTGAGCTTCCAGCTGGTCAGGGTACACGTTTATTGCTGCATTGCAGATTCTGGTTGGGTTTTGTTTGTTTGTTTTCTAGGAGAGGACATAGATGCTACTTTTGTTCTGTTGTGTTCGGATCTACCTGTTATTCTTTGTGTTTAAGGCTGTGGTGGGCAGAATAGGAGAGCATACTGTGGTAAAGCCTGGAGATCGAGCGTCCTGTGGGTTAGAAGGGATGTGTGCATTGAAAACATGAGGAGGTTCTTATTCTTCTGATTTTTCCAAGGTCACAATGCCAGATACCTGGCTAGAAGCACCGTATTCACTGCAAGCGTGTGGCCTATATGCCCTCTATGCTCTGGATGCCGAGATAGACATTCCCTGAAGAGAAGAAAGCAGGGCATGGAAGGCCTACTGGTTTTTCACTTTCAGTAGATGTTGATGGAGTAGCCATGCATACCGAGCTGGCAAATTGCTGGGAGACATCGAGAATATAAGGAAAAGACAGTGAGAGCCCATGCCTAGACCCTCTGCGGCTAAGACAAAAAGCACAACGTACTTCATCATCTAGAAACTGTGCGGCTCATTAATAAAGTCACTTATCCAAAACATCTTACTCCCTTTTCCTCTGAAATTCTATAAAAAGCGTTAAGTAGACTTGATAAGGCCACCTCACTTTACAAATGTTCAGAAGTATTGAGATCGGCAGTTTATGAGACTGGCTTCTAACACCACATCTCTGAAGGGGGATCTTTTAATCTCTGCTTAATTGCGAAATCAATTGGTTCCAGTCTTTGAACCACGTGGGAATTAGAACATCAATTCTAGGGACAAAAATGTGGCTTGAATAAACTTACTTCTCAGGCTTTTCATTTATGTGTGTGTACACGTGTGCATGTGAGTATGCTTCCTTCCTTCCTTCCTTCCTTTTTTTCTTTTTCTTTTTTTGTTTGTTTTTTGAGATCAGGTTTCTCTGTATTGCTTTGGAGCCTGTCCTGGACCTGCTCGGTAGACCAGGCTCTCTCCCTCCCGAGTACTGGGATTAAGGGCAAGCAAAAACTGTCATTTCTGTTTTTACTTTGTCTCAGCTAGTGTTTTGTCATTTCTGTTTTTACTTAGTCTCAGCTAGTGTTTCTATCGATGAAACACCAGGACCAAAAACAAGTAGGGGAGGAAATTCGTGATCCTTAATTTCTTCATTTCCTCCTTTCAGATAATGCTAGCTTGTATCAAGTCGACATAGAATGAGCCAGAGCATGCATTTTCCTTCTATCTTGGAGGAAGTCTGAGTATGGTTTTCATTGGATACATCTTCTTCAATTCTGGAACATTCTGACAGAGAGAGAGAGAGAGAGAGAGAGAGAGAGAGAGAGAGAGAGAGAGAGAGAGAGAGAGAGAGGATAAGAGACTGCAGTGGTTAGGATAAATGTTTGCATGTTTTTCTTAGGAGAAGGGATGGGGGGCTCATTTAGAGGAGCTCCCATCTCTTCAGCCAAGAGTCTTGCCCCTCCTCCATTATTCACACAGAAACAGAATTAATCTGAAGGAGACGTGTCTGGTCTGTGATTCACCCAAGGAGTCTAGGTTGGTGACTGTTCCTATATTCTAGTGGATGAAATATTTTGGGAAAGTATCTTAGTGTGTGGCTCTGCCTAAGGCAATCTCCATTTTCCTTGCATTGTCTTGGAGCCGCTGTTTTAAAGCATCGTTTTCTTCTCCTTCCCTCCAGGTCGGTGGAAGACGAGGAAAGGCCCTTCGCGCTGGGGATGCAGTTCGTTTTGTTGCGAACACTTGGTATGTCCCTAGGTTCCCCAGTGTGACATTCATGTCCCTTTGCAGCAGGCAAATGCTATGGCCCTTTAAAAATGCAGGCTGAGTCATTGGTGCCGGGCGGGCGGGTAGAACTTGACAGGGTTGTGGTGGAGGGACACTTTCACTTCTGCCTTTTGGGATTTGGACTGAAAGTTGACTAGCTCATTGGACAAGACAAAGTGGACTTCAGGTTACTTTCTTTTTGACTCTGAATACAAACTTGTACAAAATTCGCCCAGAGTCTTATGCAGTAAGGGATATGAGACCGAGACATTTGCAACGACCTTGTTATTGGTCCTTGGTCATTGGTCAAGGCCCTTTGGTCTCTGGCTGTTTTCCAGCGTCAACGTGAGAGAAACGTATAGTCCGAGTGACGCGCCCCGTTTCTTACCGCTTTGGGGTTGTTTTATTGGGTTGATTGAAGTGAACACCTGTAGAGTTTTCTGAGGAAAAGCTCTTAAAAGGCAAAAAAGAAAGGCCACAAAAGCACAGAGAGGCTTCCCACACCTGCAAAGAAAGCCCTGTGCATCAGTGAAGATAACGCATCACTCCGTGAAGCCTTGGGACCCTGCGTGGGAAATAGACTCAGAAGCTGCCCACTGCTTCATCAGTGTGACTGACCCTCAGGTGTCTTCCTCAAGCTTTTTTCCCCTTAACTGCCAGGCTATCATTTTCTTCAGCTGGTGCTCCCCCTGACTCATCAGAACCATCGTCCATGGGACACGGGGGGGGGGGGGAGGGAGGGGGAACTGGTGTGTTTTTAATTCCCATTTCAGTTTTGAAGGGTGAAATTTCTTTAAATGGCACCTTCCTCCCCTTTGAAGCATCCACACCCCCTGCAATTGCTTGCAGTGAGCCAGGGCTGGTGGCCTGAAGGCCAAAGCTGAGCACAGTGACCGCCAGCAGGAAGAAGTCCCTGGTGTGTTTTGTTGTTTGGGCCCAACCTGACTTAAGGGGGACAAGAACCAATTTTTAGTTTGAAAGGATTTTGTGTTGGCATTGTTGACGATAATAGACAGTTCTTTGAGCTTTCAACTCTATTGAAGTTTCACTGTCAAAATTCTATCAAAAGCGTCCGGTGGAAGGACTTGGTTATACAAAGCAATAGCTATTCTTATCAACCTTAAAAACACTAAGACAGTCTGAGTTGTAAAGTGGAAAACGCTATGTCTTTGGTGTTTATTTTCATAAGTTAATTGCAATTAGATGGAAACATCATTAAGAAAATTCAATTAAATAAAAATCATCCTCTTGGCATTTGACAAACCTTGCTAATTACAAATCTGGTTCCTCTTATTTTGTCTTTCTGTTTCTCTTTCCCCCCATGACTGCAGCGTACATTCCTACTCCAATTTACTTCGGAGCCGTGATTGACACCACCTGTATGCTCTGGCAGCAGGAATGTGGCGTGCAGGGGTCTTGCTGGGAGTACAACGTGACGTCGTTTCGTTTTGTCTACTTCGGTTTGGCGGCTGGCCTCAAATTTGTTGGCTTTATTTTTATTTCCCTGGCCTGGTACTCTATCAAATACAAAGGGGACGAACTGCAGAGGCAGGGGTGCAGAGATTTCCCGCTGAGCACTGTGAGTGAGCTAGTGGGCCAGCCCAACAAAGCTGAGAAATATGCCCGGACTACATCGTGCCCCGCCTTCAGTACCCACGGAGAACTCCAGGAGGAAACTGGTCTGCAAAAGGGATTCCCAGGCACCACACAGACTCATCCTGGGCCTTTCTCAGAAGCAATACGTTCCTCTACAGACCCCGGGCTAGACGAGAGCCCCAATGCTGCTGTGTAGCGTGCCTGCTGAAGCCTGGGAAAGGAAGACACGTTTTGTTGGTTGAGTTGACTATGGCGAGTTGAGAAACACCTGTGCCTTCTTACGTTCTTTTTTTTAAACCTCGACAGACACAATCCTCAAACCAACATAACTCCCTATACACAGCCACTATTGATTGGGGGCTGGATACCTCAAAAAAACTGAACGTCTTCCCCCTCTTTTGTCCAGGGAGGAGCTTAGATACATCTGCTACCATTTCTGCTGGATTCATTTAATGCTCCTGCACCTGTTTGGTAGAAGCCTGAGATCCATGGTTAACCATGGGAAAGGCTATGACCATGCATATCGTTAGCAAAAGCACTCCAGGGAAAGGTTAACTTGACCATGACTTTTTGTGTGCAAGTCAGAGTTTTTAGATTTGAGCACCTACTTTGAGTTCTGCTCCAAAGCACAACTGAATTTGCCTCAACTATGCAATTGGGTTGGAACAATGCAAGTGTGGCGTGCCCCTTTGGCTTTCAGAGAATAAAGCAGATATGTTTTTGATAATAGGAAGCGGAATGTTTCCCTAAAGCACCGGTAATAGCATTTTAAGCCATAGCAGACATATCAATCAGGTAGAAAATTCTCAAATGCTTCAAAGAACTGTATACGCAATGTAATGAATGACCACAGAATTTCCTAAGAAATAGTCTTCTCTTAGTCTGTTTACTCCATCATAAGGTAGAGCAAGAGGCTGCTAAATCATACATCTGGTAGCTTGAATATTTAAACTACAGTATTCTTTCATACAGGGCTTTAAATCTAGAGTGCTAAACAATATGGCTCGAAACTGTAATTTGAAATGCTTAACAAGGAAGAACCCAATGGCTTTCTCATCTGAGGAAATGGTTGTCAAAATCAAAATTCAATTCTGAAGAATCTATTGAAAGTAGCTAAGAGTTACTACTACCTTGAATGAAAGTAGTTGATGAAGGAATTCCCAGGGTAAGACTGATTCCCTAATGGAGATTTTTTTTTTCTCTTGTACCCTCAACATACTGGCAAATCTCTACTGATTTTTTTTTTCCGAAGAGAAAAATAGGTTGCTTCAGAAAATGAGTAATTCAGTCAGGAAGACTGTACCTGGGATATGAAAATCAACTCAGAGGAGATGGGAGATTTGTCCGTTGAGCACAATAAGATTAAGTAATGAGTTAGAAAGGAAAAGCAAATGTGCCTATCCCACTGAATCCTGCTTTCTCAGAGCTAGGATCATTGCACAGTGCCCCTGTGCAAACATCCTTCCTGCAGTGATTCTGAGAGAGGCTAGTTCCCCTCCTACAGACACCTCAGGTCCCATCAGTCATCTGGGGCACTAGACAGAGTGCTTTCTGTGTGGGTTTTAAGATGGACACCTCTTGACAGTGTTCGTGCGTTGACAGATGGTGACTCATGGGATCTGGCTGCAAGGGACCAAAAGGCCCAATGTGTCATAAAATGGAGATCTCTCTGTCAAGCAACTTGTGTCATGTAAGGTGAACTTGGGAAATGTTCCTTCATCTGGAAGAGAGAGGCCGGTAGACTCGGCTATGATTCGGACTTTTGTACCTACATTCTTGGCAGGCCACAGGAGTAGAGTTGTGGGAATGTTCCTAGGTACAGGATTGAATTCCTGTCCATGCAGGGAGGCCACTGCTCATGTGGTTTTCTGGAGACACGGAGTTCGTGGCGGAGGCCTTCATTATTAGACTGAATAGCGTCTAGGAGAAACACAGGGTGTCCAGGTCAGACAGCACTTTGCTTGGACTCCTGGGCGTGGCTGTATGGAGGTGGGCAGTCATGCTTAACCCAGGTTGTCACTGCTGTGTGTCAGGTTTTGTCCAGTGTAACATACATCAAAGATTTTCATAAAATAGTGCAGATTCGCTGAGGATGTGCTCCAGGGACTTGGTGTTCCTCTTTGCCATCTGTAGATGACCTTAAGCCTTTAGAAGGGATAGATTCATTTGGTGTTGATGCTAAGATATGTAGGTTTGGAGAGGTCATGCTTTCTTCATTTTTTCTGTGATAACTAAGATATTAAGAAACTTCTGCTGGAATTGGTCCCAGTTTGGTATTAAGATAGATTCACCAGGGGGTAATTAGAAAGGCCCAGATCCTTTTCTCCTCCTTGAATTCAGTTCTGCAATTGCTGCCTGGGTACCAGTTATGTGTTGATACCAATTATTGCTCTATGAAATCCTTTAGGATGCTCAGTACAGAGCTCAAAAACATTGACCTGGGATGTGACTACCATTTGTGAATAGCAGTTCCTGATCCTGTGAATAGCTGTTGGGGAATGACGTTCTGGATTACGTACCAATTAAGGATTGTGCCCCAAATGTTTTAGGCTGTGGTAACATCTTCAGACTATTACATAGCCAGTAAGTTGACTCTTGCAGTTGTATGTAGAAGAGGTCTTTCTGTGTTCCTAGTAACCTGGTTGTGTTACTTGTAGTCGCAGCTCCTAACAGAAATTTTAATTGCTGCTCTCTGAGCATAGGCTTTGAAATTACTTGTTTTGACAAGAGGACGCTGTGTTCTTCCTTCAGCTCTATAAATTAATGTGTTGTTGGATTTAATTTGCAAATACAATATCCAGCTCAATGATTTAGAAACTCCCAAGGGCTGAGGGAGGAGGGTGTTGAAGGATATATCTTGATTTTCTTCCTTTGTGTGATGTCTTGTTCCATGGAGGTGGAGTTAATGTTTAAAATCAAAACAAAAGAAATGGTCAAGGGTTGGGGAGAAAGGGAAGTGAGAGGACAGACTAGCATTAGATGTGGTGACTATTTGCAGAATAGTTCCCCAACACCCACCATCCATTTTGTTTTTCTCTTTGAGGACACACAAACATTTTTCCCCCCAGTGGTGCTGGACTGAGCTCAGGGCCTTGCATACTCTAAGCTCATTTCTCCCTTGAGCAGCATGCCTGCCTTTTCTGGAATGGATTTTTGTACCTTTGTTCGTTTGTTTTTTATAGGTTTGAACCTGAGACTCCGAAAGTAGAAGCCAGTCGTTTAGGATGGTGCCAAGTGGCAGCCACAGGGACTGAGACAGCTTCCCCTGACTGAATTGTTTGCTTATCATACTTGATTCACTTCATGGTAAACAAAGGCAAAACACCCATTGTAAAGTAGGTTAGCACATGTCACTTTCTGATGTAGTGGTTTTGAAGAAAATAGAGACAGTCTTCAAAATAAAGACATTTCCTGGTATAAATAAATAAATAATAAAAAAAACCCAAAACCCAACAGATACCCATGGGAGCCATCCACACTTGGTGTTTAGCTAGATATTTCAAGGTAAATTTCATTTATGTAGCCAAGTATGACATTAAAATCATTTGTCATTATTTACCTCAAATGCTTATTTACAGGTTGTGTTTAATTGAGAACAACACATCCAGTTTGGGTATTAACTAGGATCTTAGCAGAAATTCCTGAAATGATTTTTTTTTATGAAAAAAAAAAAAAAGAGAAAGATTAGTTCTGATTGATTGTGTCTGAGCTCTGGGGGTTATTTATGTTTTTCCCCTGTCTGTAGATTAGCATGGTTGCTTGTAGACAGCTATGATTTTTCAGAGTCTCAATGAAGACTTCAAAAGAACATAGGAAATGTACACGAAGCCACCGACCCCATCTGCTACCTCGAGTGGCTGTGACAATAAACTGTGTCCTTGCACTCAGGGAAGCCAGCACCCGCAGCAGTTTCTAGAGTAGGGCTCTCCAGGGTCTCGGAAATCCTACATGTCACCAACCATGTAAAGTTTCTCATTTGGTCCACAATTCTAGCTCACAGAACTTACAGCCGGGAAATGTCTTCTTTTTCTTTTGTTTGTCTGAGGATGCTGTGTAGAAAGAACGCCATGTGCACCAATGGACAACAGCCCAGTGTGGAGGGACCCAAAGGCCCTGTGAGCTCCCCCCACCCCCAGCAAGGCAAGCCCTAGCCTAGGGTGTGTGTGCGTGAAGGCACTTGTGCTCGTGTGTGTGTGTGTGTGTGTGTGTGTGTGTGTGTGTGTGTGTGTGTGTGTGTGGTCCCTCTAGGTGCATGCTGAGTATTCTAAGTGGTAGATAGAAACCCGAATACCGTAAACCCCAGAATAGCTGCTGATTCTTGTGAGTAATCTTCTCATGCCTGTTATTTTGTCTTCCGGTGGGGGGGAGGGGGGCTGGCGGGAGAGGCTAGGTGCTCATATCTCATCTTCACTGGTGGCGTAGTCTTCTGTACCACCGGAAGCGGAATCGAAGACACTGCTGCTGGCTTTGTCTCAAACCTCCTGCTGAATTTGCAACCAGATTCGTGTTTGTTGGAAGAGGTTTAATTTAAGCACTTCATTTTTCCTCAGCCTTAAGGAGGGTCAAGGTGACCAGAAGCTCACCTTATCACTGTTGGCTTTGACAACATTAAAAATAAAATGCCTTGGTGCTAATGTATTACAGATGCATGTTCCTCTCTGAATTCAGTGTTTCAATGACAAGGGACTGCATGTGCTTTGTGTTTGGAAACCTGGGGGTTTTCCCAGAGAACGACCCCCCCCACCCCCGGGGGGCTCTCATTCCCACAGTCACGAACTCTACACTGCAAAAATGAGAAGTGTATGGGCAAATCCTTACCTACGGAAAAGGCAGTGCTTTTATATTTAGTTTAGCAAGAATAAACAGAGAGAGAAAAACCTATTTAGATAATCTTCTGTCTTCTCCAGGAAGCTTTGAGCCCTTTGAGCTGCTTTTTGTTTGTTTGTTTTGTGTTTGTTTTTGTTTTTTAAGCATTGGGGTTCGATGCTATCATCTTTTACTGTAGTCTGCTAACATGTAAAAAGAGAAGAAGCAAGTGTTATTGAAAATGGAGGTAATGGTAAGGGCGTGGTTAAAGGGAATGAAAGGGTAAGATTTGCCAGTGGGCATTCTTCTTAAAATATATACCTCTACCCCAAATCCAAATGTTAATCTAGGAGCATGAAGCCCAAGTGAGCCTTGAACTTTGTAGTATAAGGAAATGTGAAGCTTTGTCAAATTCGTTAGGATATCTGTGGAGTATTTGTGTGTGTGTGTGTGTGCGTGTGTGTGTATGTGTTTGTGTGTGTGTGTGTGTGTGTGTGTGTGTGTGTAGTTATGAGTGTGTGTCTGTCAGTCTGTCTGTACCTGTCTATCCGTCTGTGCATTTCTTTATAGAGGCATGCTTGCAATGAAAGACTGCTTTGAGATGTTATATAGAGTTTGATTTTGTGGTTTTTAAAAACAAATATTTATTTGGAGACCTGTTATGGTAATGTAAAGGGGTATATGACTTATTTCTTTATGTTTAATGAAACTGACTGTCAAAGGACTTATAAACCTGGGTTTACAACATCTTGAATACTTGATCATTGGAGATTAAGGAGAAAAAAAAAAAAGCTGGAAAAAAAAAAAAAAAAACCCAATAAAGTGTGTTGGATTGAAACTATTTTGTCTCTGGATTCCTCATCGCTTGAAGTAAAGCAATGGAATCTGAGTAACCAGCACCATGCCTGGTTCCTGACTG